GGTGTTACAGGTGTTACAATGGGTGTTACAGGTGTTACAATGGGTGTTACAGGTGTTACAATGGGTGTTACAGGTGTTACAATGGGTGTTACAGGTGTTACAATGGGTGTTCTTTGTGACATGTTGTTGACATGATGCTGTAGACATGATGTTGCTGACACTGTTGTTGAACTGATGTTGTTGACATATTTTTGACATGATGATGTTGACATGATAATTTTGACATAGTTGATATTAGCTAAAGGCAATCAAGATGATATTTTTAATAATTAATGTAATTGTATTAGAATATCTCTACCATTGATATTGATGATACAGGGTGAGTGGCTGCAGCAACCTACCGATGTACATTGTGCTGTGTTGGGGTTTTGAACCCCAGTAAGCTGTAAATATTCTGAGAAACTAAAACATTCTGGGCTGTCACCCCAAGCTGCTGGGTGAGTGGGTGGAGCACACCTCACCTGTAGGCGTTGAGCTGCTGGGTGAGCGGGTGGAGCACACCTCACCTGTAGGCGTTGAGCTGCTGGGTGAGTGGGTGGAGCACACCTCACCTGTAGGCGTTGAGCTGCTGGGTGAGTGGGTGGAGCACACCTCACCTGTAGGCGTTGAGCTGCTGGGTGAGTGGGTGGAGCACACCATCGGTCAGTTGGGTGCAGAGGATGTGCTGCCAGGAGCTCACCTCCTGCAGGAGCTCAGCGCCCCTGCCGAGGCTCGTGTCAACCAGACCCTTGGGGTCCGTGTTGATGGCGTACACCTGCACAACCAGGGTGACTTTAGGGTGACTTTAGGGTGACTTTAGGGTGCAGTACACCTGTGCAACCAGGGGGACTTTAGGGTGACTTTAGGGGGCAGTACACCTGTACAACCAGGGTGACTTTAGGGTGACTTTAGGAGGCAGTACACCTGTACAACCAGGGTGACTTCTTGTAATTTATTTACATTCAATAATAATCTTGTGCACTTCACAGCAGAGTGAGGGTAATAAACAAAATGAGGCATATCAAAAATCAATAAAATTAGGCACAAATGTCATCATAAAGTACATATGTATGTGATCAGAAAGACTTAACCTAGATAGGTACCGTATACATGTGTGGTCTTCATAATCATGAGTCATAAACATAATGATTGATTGACAGGAACAGTGGCGGCAATCCATCGTGGCCTGGGACTGCTACGACCCAAACGTATACAAGGATACGTCCCTACTACCAAAGATACCTGATCTACTCCTTGGATGGCTACTGGGTTTTTTAGCTTTAATTTCATTTATTACTAATAAAGATACGTACTACTGAGGATATTAAGGTCACTAGTCAAGATAATCATAAAGGCACTTAAACCTTCATTATTTGTCAACCAAAATTAATTTATAACGAATAGAGATTGCTACCATATGACATGTTGTACTGTGTTCTAATGTTAATAATCATAACAAATCAAAAATTATAATCATAATTTCAATAAAAAATTTCCATTTAAAAAATATATTGATAACTTTCAGTACATAAAAAGGGCAGAAAGTAACAATAAAGAAGGACAATATCCAGTTACTTCAAATAGAGATAATGTTCCCTGGTGCATTAAAAAAATATTTTCATTGTCACAAATATTTCTTTTGAGAAATAATAACAAATGCAATTTTCAAGAGAAAAATAGACTGTTTTACAATGTGTTTCAACAGATTCCGGGACTAAGATAGCTAAATTAACGCCACATTTCAAAAAAGTTGATAATAAGTATTTTTAGAGTAATAATAGGAATAAAAAGATTGCAAAAAGTCTTTCTATAGAAGTAATGGGCAGTAAAATAGCGCAAATAAACTATTTTTAAAAGAGTAATAGGGATTGAAAGAGTGCAAAAAGGAGTCCCTATTGCTGCTCACCTTGCTGCTGTGGGTGTGCAGGTGGTGGGCTACACTGCTCACCTTGCTGCTGTGGGTGTACAGGTGGTGGGCTACACTGCTCACCTTGCTGCTGTGGGTGTACAGGTGGGCTACACTGCTCACCTTGCTGCTGTGGGTGTGCAGGTGGTGGGCTACACTGCTCACCTTGCTGCTGTGGGTGTGCAGGTGGTGGGCCAGGGCCTGGTAGGCCAGGGTGACGTCATCAAGACACGTCACGAGCCTGGCCGTGAGGCGGTGCAGGGTCGCCAGGTACTCGTGCTGCGTGCGCACGTCTCCACTGAACACGGCGGCTAGTGTGCGTAACTGAGGGGGGGGACAATTGTAGTCATGGTAATGGTAAGAATTATGTTACATGATAATAATAATGATAATTTATTAACATTATAATACTAATAATAATTATTATTCAACATAATAATAATTAATTAACATGTGCAGTAATGGATAATGTTAATAATTAATTAACATGTGCAGTAATGGATAATGTTAATAATTAATTAACATGTGCAGTAATGGATAATGTTAATAATTAATTAACATGCGCAGTGATGGATAATGTTAATAAAAATGTTAATAATTAATTAACATGCGCAGTAATGGATAATGTTAATAATTAATTAACATGTGCAGTAATGGATAATGTTAATAATTAATTAACATGTGCAGTGATGGGTAATGCTTATAATTAATTAACATGTGCAGTGATGGGTAATGTAAAAAATTAATTAACATTTGTAGTGATGTTTACTTGGTAATAGGGTGATGCAATTACGTAGTGATGCTAGGTTGTGAAGAATAATTACATGGTGATGAGCATTGGCACCTCTTCCACATTATACAATGGAATTTTTTTCTCAAATGAATCTAGAAAATATATGATAGACAGAACATGTAGCAAAGGTACAAAGAAGTAACAACTAGCACAGCTGCCAGTACAAATAGGTACTGTAGTTGTTAAATTTATGTAATACGGTATGCGTATAGGTACTATGGTATACAAAACAATCATACCAAGTGCACTAAAAATAACCAAAAATAAAGATATGAATAACAATTTTATTTAGCAGCTCTCAATCACTTGGAGTTTAAGTAGAGCTGCACACTAAAAATAACCAAAAATATAGATATGAATAACAATTTTATTTAGCAGCTTATAAGCACATGAAGTTTAAATAAAGATATCTCGTACCTGAGGTGGATCGTCCAAGGCACACTCGAGAGGCAGCTTCTCAAAGCCTGGGATGCCCATGTTGACTAGAATATTAATTATTTACAGGCAAATACAAATTAAAATTTACAGGCAAATCACAATAAAAGGAATGTAGGTAATCAATCTGCAGAGAATGTGCAGATGATGTGACTCAGATAAGCAATCACTTTGACATCTTAACAACTGTAAAATTTGTGTGCATTACCCTGCAAAAATGGCACAAAGAAACTTTCTGCAAACAGTAAGATGAAGAACATTGCAAAAGATACTTAATTAGTAAATGTAATTTTACTAATTTAAATACTAAATAATACAACTATATATACCTACCTATTCTACGGAGTTAACAGTTAACATTTTAATGAATTAACCATTGAGAAATTTATAAAACTTGTAGTATCAACTATTTCATGAGAATTTGGAAACATATATTTAACTTGAATTTCTAGGTTAGGATGTTTTAAATGCTTCCTATTTGACCCAGCATTACACCTGTCAAGTCATGAAATAGGTACTAACTAATTTCCCAGGTTCTTTAAGATCAATTTTGACTTCAGATTTCATGCCCAATCAGTGGGCATTAAATCTGACAGCTCCAAATTTGTGCATTTTTTTGTTCAAAATATTGTGGCTCATTAGATGATGTAGGATTGGAATTTTCCTACTTGTTTCTGGAATCTTGTGGCTCCAATGTGACGAATTTTTAATACATTTGGAATCTTGCAGCCCAGTCATGCACTTTTGTTAACAACTAGATAGGTAATTCATCTGGCAGAAACCTCACAATTCCAGAAATAGCAGGAAAGCTCTAGTCACGGCCCTAATGGTAGAAGTTTTTATGCTTGGGTGACATTCTATTAATTTTTCAAGTTCCATAGTTCAGTATACCAGGCTCCCAATACAATACTGGTATTATTAGTGGTAGGTATATTAACTATAATGTATGACGGCTTGACCTAAAAGTATGCAGGTGGTAAGGGCCTCATGTATAAAAGAATCTAGATAAATGCATAAAAAATATTTCTACTTTCTAAGCCCAGACAAGAGCTTTCCTGCCATTTTTGGGAGAGATACCCATTGGATGAAATTATGAAAATCTCCCATCTAGTTGTTAACAAAAGTGAAGGCTCAAGCAATTAGATTTCAAAGCTGCTATATACAATGTATATTAATTTAGAGCCTTGAGATTTCAACATTGAGAAATAAATTTCAAATCTTGAGTATGACCCCTGAACTTGTGATGAGATTCTAAAGCCATAACATAGTAGTAAAAATATTATAATTCCAATCCTAGTCCAAGATCACTTGATTCATATATACATATACTTCCCAAGTCCCAGATAAAGCTTTCTCACTATTTGCGAGCTACAAAATTCCTGCTAGATGAATTATCTGCATCTAATTGTTGACAAAGTTGCACAAGCCTGTTATCTCTGCACTCTCAGACTCTCTGGGATCAGCTATAATGTAATGTGAACCTTGAAATATGAACACTCAACAGAGGAGTGAAATGTGCTTCAGTTGAAGAATGAAGATGAAGTCATATGGGGCGCGGGGGTGGGCAGCCCAAGCTGGTGGCCAGGTAAGTACTGCTGTACCAGTAGGCTGGTAGCTGTGAAACCTACAACTACAAATAACAAATGTAGGTCATGGTCATTTAGTGATTTTAGTCACTAATTGTTGCTTGTTGGCAATTTGCAATCTATAGTAGTAAGATATTTTGCTATTCAATTTCTTATTAATTTTTTTTATTTACTTAATGGGTCACACTTTGTAAATATTGTATTGTATAGTATAGTATATACCGTAAAATGGGGTAACTTAGACCGGCAGGGTAACTTAGACCACTTTTCGTTTTTTTTACAAAAACCCCCACAACTCAGAAACTATTTGACATAGAAAAATTTTGTCAATGGGCATTAAAGGCCTAATACTGAAAGTGAAGCTAGAGTATAGACATGTATTTTGCATGTTTCAATTCAAGTTTAATTTAGCTAGTAAGAAAATGGCATCATTTATAAGAAAAAAAGTGGTCTAAGTTACCCCATTTTACGGTACTCTTAGACACTATACAGTATACAGGTATTTTGTATTGTATTGTTCTGCCAAGTGCCAACTCCAAGAAAGTGGTAACTTGCTTCAACTTGCTACATTGAAAATTGGCTCATGTACTTTAAAGTTATACTTGTTACTTCATTCCCACTGTGCTGAGAGTGGATGAATATTGCAAGATCTTTGGCGACGCTAGAGTAGCAAAATTTACGCCTTCAGAAGATCTTGCCGACACATTTAGATTGAAATTCTTGCATTTAATATATTTGTCAGTCTTCGGCCAACTATTTAAAAAAAGTAAGGTTTCCGATATGTTGGATGGTTCAGGATGCAGTGAAGCTTGTCCAAAAATCAGTTGCAATGAGTTCCCGCCAAAAAAAATGTAAACATCAAGCTTACGATTACGTAGTTGCGGTCACATTAGAGCAGTCAGACTTCATTATCACATGTTCAGTTGACACTTGCTGTACAATCAGACTGTTTTTAGGATAAAATTAGTTAGATATTTGGGGTAACATGTGCATGCAACCTTGTAAATAAGTTCGTGGCTTGTAAATAGTTTTTCATTACTCAGCGTAAATGGCTTTTTATTAAAAATTCCCAGGCGACGCATCTTAAAATTACCCGGCGACGCTTAGGGCTTAAAAACCCATATATTGGCAACTGCATCCATCCTCTGCACCCTGGCTTCATTCCATATATGAAATTTTAAAAAATAATTGAATTTAAATAAATACTTTTAAGGTAACTTTATAGGTACCAGTATTTCATACAAGAATTTTATAGACTTTAGCTCTGATCTGACTGATCAAAATGATCAAAGCCAAAGCCCGAAGTGATGGAAAAATTCCATCTAAATTTCATCATTTAAATTCCTAACTTTGATCCATCAGAACTTATTCAGAAGTCCTGTGTCTTCTGTGTAGTCCTGACTCCTGTCTTGTGTCTTCTGTCAGACTGTCACTTCCTAAGAGTCAGACCTCATTCTCAAGTTCATTTTTGATTCCTATTACTATTAGTAAACCAGTAGACTGAGTAGAGTATTATGAATCCCAGCATTATCCTACATAAGAAATTTAATAAAATATTGAGTAAATGAGGAAATTAAAAATGAGCTGATTCTAAAAGATCTGAGGCTCTGAGCCTTCTGACTTCTGAGTTTTATCAGTTGTCACTATTCAGTATTCACTAACACTATGGCCTATGACGCATAGTGGCAAAGCAGCGAGTTTTTTAGACTCTCCCTCAAGTAAAAGTAATCAAGTTCATTTTTGAGTCCTAGGCTCCTAGCTACAAGTAGACCAGCAAAGACAGTGCAAAGTATCATGGATACCAGCATTATCATACATAAGAATTTGGTTTAAATTTTTGAGAAAATGAACTGATTCTAAAAAATCTCTGGAATCTGGTTTGTCACTATGTATGCCTAATGCCAGCATAAGGCCCATAAAGGTGAGTGCTGAGTGAGGCAATGCCTACTGCCTAGCGTGAGCCTACTGCCTACTTGCAGGTGAAGAAGTCATGACTCATGCCGTGGCCGTCATGCGTACTGGGCAGACCACTTGTAACACGACTAACACCTGGACTCGGCAATGATTATTTAATTTGAATCTTCATCTTCTCATTTTCAGTTTTTTTCTTCTCTCTGTTGATGCTTGCTCTCGTCACCCCTCTACGTTGTCAGCAGTCTTTCATAAGTTGAAGCGATGAGAGGTAAAATAAATCGCCATTGCATCCAGTGCTCTTCACAGTCTTCAGCAGCTACAAGGCCAATCAACCAGTAAAAAGCGTAGGAGCAAGACTTTTTTTTTTTCTTTTCAAATTTGCGGGAGCCTCTGAAGACTAGTCCAATGTGGCCCCACGACCGAGTTTTGAGTTATAGTTGTTAATCAATTTAATTAATCACTTAATTTTCTTTAATTGATCACTCTAATCATTCACTTAAGTCAC